CTCAGCAGATCTGCAGAGAAACAATTTCCTCTGGGAGGAAATAGATCATTTTTGTATAATTCAAAATCATGCACTTTATGGTCTCTTAAATACATGTGCATACTTTAAATATATGTTCCTTAAAACCTGAAACATTTGACTATTTGACTCTTCTCTCTTACTGTGCGCATCTGAGGGAGCAGACAGCAGAAGGAGAAAAAGTTTGATTAAGAGGCAGAGCAGCACTGCCAAACATGTGCCCTGAAGGAATCAAGGCTGCCCACTTTGTTTCTCCCCTAATTTTCCTTTCTAGCTTTCGCCGGACTGTGTCCTATGGCTGCTGTACTTGACCTGTGACTCTTCCTTTCCCGAGTACCTTGAGGTTTTTTCCCCGGGATGGCACCCCCATGGAGGTGAGGTGTTGTGAAAGGGGAGGTAGAGGAATAAAGCCGTGTCTACTGTACACACAGTCACATTTCAATCACTCTCAGGAAACAGTATGCATGAAAGCTTAAGATTTGGAAATTCTGCCTTGAAAGAGACCTAAATTTGTATATCATCTTTGTCACTAAATTAAAATTTAGCTACAATTGAGAAGCAAAGGCTGAAGAGCAAGTGGAGGAAGTGATAAGGGTTGGGAGTACCAATTCAATTACAGAAATCTTCAAAAACTAGAGAATTCTACAGTCAGAATGGCTTGATTTCCTGGCCAGAACAAGTATTGGGGTGCTAATACTTGCCCCTCCTCTTATACTAACAAGCTGTGACATTCTGGAAAATTATCTTACCGGTCTGAATGTGTCTTCCCACCTTTCCAGTAAAATGCCTACAGAAGATTTCCTGATCTTTACCTTTCTTCCCCTTCCAGTAACACTGAGCACTATCTTTTTCTGCTCCTTGCCTTTTGCTATTAGGTTTTTGTTTGTTTGTTTTTACTTACTTTATTTACCTTCCCTATTAGAGAATGAACAACTGGAGGGCTTGATGATACTTTTCTCCTTTTTTTCCTAAAACAATACCTTCCACAAAAGAAATGCTAAGTATAAGTTCAGTTGGTGACTATAATGTGGCCATATTCATCTCACTGGTTTAGCAAAGTTAAGTGATGTGTGTTTAACACCTAGTTGCAAGAGTCATAAAGTAAGCATCAAAGGAGAGAAAAAAAATGATGAAATAATGCCATTTTAATGGGCAACTATGCATCATATATATTAAGGAACACAAAAACTTTGCATTTTTGTACTTAAAAGGTTTAGAGAATATATTATTAATTATACATAAAGAGGCAATTTTAGGTTAGTTCCCAGAACGCCAATATGAGTCAAACCAGTCATATGATAGGGAGTATCCTCCATAGCTAAATTTCAGGTCAACAATAACTCACATTGTTCAGCTAAACAATAACATTACATTGTGGAGCTAGGAGAACAGTGCCTCATTAACTTTTTTAACGTTTTAACTTTTTTTTTTTTCAAACATTTTTATCGGTACCAGGGATGAAACTCACGATTACCTGCTTGCAAGGCAGGTGCTTATGCCGCTGAGCTAAATCCCCAGCACCCGAACAGTGCATCATTAAGACACTATTTGTTAGCTACTATGAACATTAAATATATCTGTAAAATCTTCTGTATAATAAGGAGCCATGGTGACATAAAAAATGATAAGACCAAAAGATTGAGAATAGGGGACATTACTTAAGTCTTACAGGTTGATTAGATATGGATGCTGTTATCCAGCTAGCAGACATTTCAAATATCTACTTAATGAGATCTATATATCAATATCATTTAGATGGTCTGATTTCATTTTGAAAGTTTATTGTGTATGTCGTAAAGCAAGGAAAGATTGTAAAGTTCATCTCAGAGTTTATTGCTCTTATTGTTTCTCATTTGACTTCTTCACAATAAAAGAGCACGAAAAAATGCAGGAGCAAAAACAATTTATAAAACTACTAAGAAAAAAGTGAGAAAAAAGAAAAAGTTACAAATACATGAATTTCTCTGCAAAGGGTTGGAAAAGAGAACGTGGAGTTAATGGTGAATCAATGGAAAAGCTTGTCAGAAGAATATAAGTACTAAGATAGGCCAGAAGAGATGGTTTTTCATCCATACAAAGAAGAGCTGAGTAATTGTGATATCGTTCTTTAGAGGCCCGGTGTTTATTGTAAGGTTGAGACTGAACTCTCAGAATGCTGAGTAACAGAGGACCGAACATCCATGGAATGTTTCCTGATACATTTTGCCATGTACAATGGCTTAACAGCAATGTCTGAACAAGTGAAGGGTATTTATCTTTCACATAACATTCAGCACAAAAGGAATCCCACTCTGTTTTTATCTATAAGTCAATCTAGGAATCCAAACTCCACCTATATTATTGCTTTTCCATCTTTAGGCAGTTGTCTTTGCCTGCACCATCCAGGATGACTTATCTCATCCATCTTCCAAGCTAGTCAAGGCAGAAGACCAATGCACTCATAACCTTCAAGTATATGATCTACAAGTAGCAAAAATATTTTAGCTGAAATTTGATGGCATAGATCTTAGAAATTAGACACAAAACTACATATATATTTTATTTTTTCTTTGTTTTTAGAGGATGTTACATGAGTTTCTACTGCACTAGGTTTATTCTCTAATACATCTCTCTCTGAGAGACGACATTCAAACATTCAAAAACCTTGTGAAAATAAACTCATTGGTTAAAAACAGCAAGAAAGCAGGAGATACTTGGGACATTTTTGTGAAACTTTTTTCTGAGTGATTTTATAAAGTAGAAGAAATAGACCTACTCTATTGATGCTCTTCAAAGTCTAACTCAGCAGGTGATGGTGTTTTATGTGTTCAGAAGCTTCAAAGAAAACAAATACAGGCTGATTGTTCCCATATGTGCTTATGCTGTTGGCTGCCATAAAACAAAACCTTTGATGACAGTAAAATTGGATTATCCTAGGATTAGTAAGCAGCTGTGGCATTCATACACTGTTTTTGTGCCAGAATTGAGTTTTGGCCCCATGGTTTTCCAACTTTATAATTTGGTGAGTCAATATTTTCTATAGATAAATTTTTACCAGCTTGTAGATTACATATATGTATAGGAAGCACATACAAAGTTATGAGAAAAATCAAAGAAAGAACATGTGGCCCTTAGCAAAGAGAATCCTATTCCTATAAAACAACAACTTTTTAACTCAATCTAAAACTAGACCCAATGTGAGAATATGGGAATAATTGGTGAGTCACTTCTTGTCTAACGTCAATACTGTTGAATCAAAAAGTAACATAGTATAGTTAGGACATAATACTTATGCAGGTGTCTCAAAAACTAATTAAAATAGCTCAGGAAAAGAATGCCCATCTTCTGTTCCCATGATGCTGGAGGAAAGCGTTCTGTATTGAAGGTGGAGAGTCTAACTCAATAACTACCCTGAATTCATTAATTTTATAGGCTTTTACTCTTTCATAACAACTGAAAATATATTGGAACCTGGGGACAATTTGAAGTCTCTCCTTAGAATCTTATATTGAGTGCTGGCATCCCTCCCTCCACTTGTTTTCACAGCACAGAAAGTAAAAATGTAATCTCCAACTGCAGACATGATATCTGCTTTTACAGAATTGTTACTGGTTATTACAAACACAGACTCAAGACTCTGTGAGCACAACTACCACTAACAGAATGTTCGCTGGTCTCCCAGGGCTCACTGCTGAATATTGCTCAAACATATTTGACTGCCTGGTACAGAGTATTTTGTTTCCAGTCATTAGGGCAGATTTATCTGCACATTTTCAGGTAGGACAGTAGATCAACTAAATCCAATGGTTTTGATGAGTTCCAGGAATAAATATCTATATTCTACTATTTATAAATAAATGATTCTAAAGTGAAATGAAGTTGTAAAAATTTCAATCAGTAACATGAAATTGTTCAGATATGTTCTACACTATTATTGCATAATGTTAAAAGAGGACAACTTTTTAGATAAACATTTATTTAATCACAAGTCTCTAAATATTTGAGCTTCAACAAAATACTAGATTATATTTTAATAGTTTTTACACCAGACTGTCTTTGATGCTGATATCAATATCATTTGTATTAACTGTATACCAAGCAGAAAGTCACATGTTTGCATACATTACAATAACTCATTTCAGTGGAATCTTGTAACACCATAGGAAAGGAAATTGAGACTTTAAAAATTCCTTTCTCTGTGTACCACTTACCCATAAAGCAGGCATTAATACTAGTTCCATTAAACTGTATTGACCATGACAAGATTTTGTATACAGAAAGTGTATAGATTTTCTTATAGCACAGATGATAGAGAAAATTAGGCTATATATTTTATGTCAGTTTTTCTATAATGTTCAATTGCTCTGAAACATAATCATCTACGTAACCAGTCAATTTTTTATAGAAACATTTTTCTCCTTACATAAAGGAAATTCCTTTACCTTATTTTTTTCATATCTGGTAAGGCAATTATGGTTTTTCTCCAAATGATAACTGAAAACTCAAGGCACTTACCCTCAATGTAAGTTCATTTCTTGACTTTTCAACTATTTCAAAGTTTAGCAGCACCACAGCAGAAAAAGTAAAGTTTGCAGTCAAGTAACTTGTGTGTCATTAAGTATATAGCTGCAATATCTTGAATAAGGTTTTGCTTTCCCTAGATTTTGCTTTTCACATTTATGCAGTGGGAATAATAACTACTGCTTAGGACTATTGTGATAATACTAAGTGTAAATACCAGAAAGACTCATATTAGAAAATAAATCAAAAGTCCAAGTTCCCTATTTGTTCTCTGTTCAACTGTAGAAGATAGAGAATAATCACTGAAAATTCATAAAAAAGTATTTATGAATCTCATTCTTATGTACGAGTGCAAAACACTCATGATTTTCTTTCATTACATGTTTGTTACAAATAAAAATTCACACACATACACAAAATTCCTATGTTTTTCCTCATCATATTCTCCAAGGGGCAAAATATTAAGGATCATGTCCTCTTACCATAACACGAAGCAAATTCAATGAGGATTCTCAAACTTCATGTGGAATACTTCATATATAAGGATTCTACATCTTGAAACCATCTTCAGTAAATTTCCTAATGAAATGAAACAAAAAATATTGGGAACATGGGAAAATAAATTTCAAAATTTCTCATGTCACTTCCCATGTAGATATTTTTTCTCTCATTCTAAAAAATTAAAACAAGTCACATAGGTATTTCCAGACTGCAAATTCACAACCCAGTCTGATGCACCCATCCTGGATGACACCCCTGCTTGCCTTTTTTCACATACTGACTTTCATTATATGTGTAATTTGTGGGTCAATTTGTGTTCATAAATAGATATGAGGAAACAACAATTCAAATACAGACACTTTTAACATCAAATTGAGTATTTTCATTAGATTTGTTTCAAGTTTGCAATATGTAGATGAGAGAAAGTATGGACCAATCAAGTTACACTTAGTGTGTTAATGACAGAGAAATACTTTGAATGAGTAATATTTTTTTAAAGAAGCTTATGAATCTCCTTTTAAAAGATGAATGGATAAAACAAAACCACTATGTTACACTGGACATATTTAATTATTTTATCATTTCAATTATTATGAATATATATGTATATATTCTATCCATAACTTTGAAAACTGAAAGTTCATTTATACATTTGTCAACATCAACTCCCACTGTAAAAAGTGAGCAATTTTTCCATTATTCTTAGATGACTCTTTTTCCATTTTTATCTTTCCTTTTCTCTCACAACACAACATACTGATATATATATATATATATATATATATATATATATATATACACACACAGAGACACATCTAACAAGTCAAATTTATTGCAAGAAATTACAGTGCAATTGCATTAAATCACACTTATTCATCAGCCTAGGTCTATACCCTTTAATAACTATTTTGGTTTCATTAAAATAGAGTCTTCGACAAAAATAATTAAATAAAATCCTGGTTATGCAAATCATAGTAATGAAACACTGAACACTTGATTGTCTGAAATATCTCAAGCTTAATGAAGGCATGTCATAGTGATCAATTTTAAATTAGTCACTTTGAAACAATTTCTTTTGCTTCAATATTCTGGTGGCTTCCTGGATTTCTATTTCTGAAAAAACAGTAATTACAATTGTACTAGGTGGCACAGATGAGTCTCCCTTCCCAAATGTTAGGAAAAAAAAAAAAAAAAAAAAAAAAAAAAAAAAAAAAAAAAACAAAAAAAAAACAGTCTACTGGGTCTATCAAAGAATATTCACATCTTTAGTTCTCTTCATAGATTCATTTCGAGTAAAGCCCTAAACAAAAGTTGCTCTAATCTCTCTTTCAAAGGAGGCTGGTAGGAATTCTGTCTTTAAATTACTGCTTCTCTGCTCCATATCAATGCATCTCTATCCTGATTTGAGACTTGGGTACTGAGACTCTACACACTACATTCCTCCCTTGTTAGCTGCCTTTCTTTTTGGTTCTACAGTAGGGAGCGCGAAAGAGAGAAAGGAGAGCATGGTTTCCTTCCCTTTGTAATCAACCTTCACCAATTCATCTCAATTTGTGTACAGATTATTCAAGCTATTCCAAGACTAATTCACTCTGTTTCCCTCTCAGAGGTACTAGCACCGGGTGGCCTGCATTCCTTCCTTGACAGTTCCTGTAGTTTGAGTTCCCTGAGTCTTCTGCTCTGAGTTCCTGTAACACCATCACTGGCAACATAACCCACCCCAAAAATAGGGACTAGAGATATGTAGGGACCCTTCCAAGGTCCAGGATGGATTTCATTTATACCTATGTTTATCATTGGAGCTTCATCATATAATGCCCAGGGGCCTCTTTTTCATCTTTCAGTTTTTCAACAGCTGTGTACCCCACCCTTTATTTAAAATTTATTTACTAAAATAACAGATTGCTTTTGCTTTCCCTCAGTGGACTGTATTAAAGAATTTGGGTTTTATTTTAGATTGGAGGTGAGAAAACCAGAAAAGAGGGAAAAATGAAGAGTCTAACATTCATGGAGGTACTTGCCATTTATTTTATCATTTAATCTCCAATAATATCTATGAAACTGGATAGATTGTTGAAAAGAAAATAAATGGATACATTTATTTTAAGTTTCTACAATGTTAATTTACATTTACATACTTGTTTCCATTTAGTACTCATAAATAGATCTACTTTATGCATAGAAATTTGAAGTGCAGGATAAATTATATATTGTTTTAAACAGCTTGTACACATAAAGCTACATAATCAACAGTGGCAATATATTTTAAAAACAGAATAAGGGAAATATTTGATGTGATTTTCAAATAATCATAGGTACCAAGAATTTCTCTTCCTTCTGCTAAAATGTTGGTTTTATCGGGTGTACAAGTGTATGTGTATATGTGTGTGTGTGTGTGTGTGTGTGTGTGTGTGTGTGTGTGTGTACGTGTGAATGTGTGTATGTTATAAACAGCATTGCCCTTCTCTTGTGCCATAACAAAAAGACACAGTGATTGTTACAGAGATAGTAGGGATGACCTGCAGTGGAAGAAGACATTTGATGTGGGCATGTGCACTATGAAGGAGGAAAAATCTACCACTGATGTGGCAAAAACAGCATTGAGAGTAGACTCTGCCACTGGACATGTGCCAGGTCACTGTCTCCCAGGCTGAACCTGAGACATATTGTCAGTTCTTTCACTTTGTTGTACATTTTGTAAGAGCTGGTGAGACCTGAAGAATTCAACAGATAATTTTACCTCTCACTATAACACGCATAAAACAGTGGATAAAGGGATAATTCTTCCAACTCCGCACTGTCTCTGTCTTTCTCACCATACATTATGTCCAGATTTTTATATGAAGACCAAGTAAAATTTGACTTTGTCTTTAAAAAATGAAAATTTCTAAATTGTCACACTATGATTGCAAAATACAAGGAAATGCTATATTCAGTATAAATGAGTGAACAAAGAAACGACTTTGAGTCATCATCAGTATAGCACTATGAATGTTCACACTAATAAGATGCAACTGTGTGGAGTGATACATACAATTAGTATAAAATCAGTCCATGACAGGAAAATGGGAATTCTCGGCTGCTATTCACCATTATGGAAATCGAAGGCAACTTGGCAGCAGGCACCTTTGGAAACAGCACAAGCTCTCTGAGACTGCATGTAACCCCGGGTGATGAGGGTGAAAACAGAAGCTTGGGAGAATGAAAAGACTGCCGGTGCCAGCTGTTAGGATGCCAAACAGGAACAGAAGCTGCGCGTGTAATGATTTAAAACTGAACCTTAATTTTTATTAAAGAGACAATTTTTGACAGTAACATTGTTTCCTTATCTATAAATTGAAGTAACCATACTGGTGTTTCCCAAAATATTATGCATGATGCTCATGCACTAAAAAATGGGAACATGTCAGAGTCTGCTTTTAGTAATGCTACCTATTCTATGTGTACCCCTGCCTCTCTCTTTCCCTCTCATTGTATCCCTCTCTCACCCTCACTCTCCTCCCTCTTCCCCCATCCTTTCTTTTTATTTACAATCCTCTAAACATAAAGATTATGAGAATTTCACAATTTAAAAAGAATTATTTAATAAATTGACCACAGAATATCTTCCTCTTTTTTCACATTATGTACTGTCCCTGGGGATGATGACATTCCTCTGGGGAATTCTGGGATCAACAAATTCTAAAACGCCTGTGACTCCAGAATGCTGTAATTTTAAGAGGGGATGTTTAATTTAGCAGGAGCAAGTGACAGAACAGGGAATTTTCTCCTAAAATAGCTTTGACTACCTCAGTAATCCAGGTGTTTAGACAAAGGCCATTCAGGAGGTTGGTGGTTGAAAGCCAGGGTCTATGCTTTAGTCTCTCCGGGAAGTGTATTAAAATATTGTGCATGGGAAGCATTCCCTGGGCAGCATTACTTACCTTCGCTTTGTAGGTCAGTGAACACAAGGAGAAATTTTCTCTTGGAAAGCAAAAAGAATGATGGGAATCAGCTATCTGCTCCCCGAGCAATATAAAGCCAAATTACAAACTACAAACTTATATGTGTGAAATCTGGCAGAATGAGAAAGCTTTACCTTGGAGGAGAACCAGAATGAAAATGCTGTGCCTGAAGTAGACATTAACACTCTTTTATGGATCCGTTCCTGCTTCTAGTTCCGCATTCCCTAGATTCTGCTAAACTTTATGATTCTTGTTTGACTATCATCTGTCTGTTACAGGTGAGGCGTCACCATTCCAGGTGGCAGTAATAAAGGCCATGCTTACGGCTCTCCCAATCCCCAATTCGGAGAACATAAACTTTGAATTTATATAAGCACAGTGACTTCCACTTTTAGGATGTGAAACATTTCTTCATATTTTTGCTGTTTTGATTCTTTATACAACTTTATGCAAAAATAGGCCATCATAAAAGAAGTGGATCCAGGAAAATAAAATTTTTCTTAAGACTTTAACATTTAGTGGAAAATGCATTCACAGATCATTTCACCCCAGGATTTCTTCTTGCCACTAAAATGACAGTGATCATTAAGCTCTTTGAATTTCTGTGTTATGTTCTAGGCAGCGCACTAGATTCTTTGCAGCACCTCAAAGCCTACAATAAGGCAAGACTTTTGGATTCTAATGTCCATTTTATGAAAGGAAAAAAAAATAAACTCAAACTACTTATATAAAGTTTTGAAAAATGACATTTCTTTCAAGTGGCAAATTTTACACTCAAATATATGTTGATCCAATTTCAAAGTTTAAAGTCTTTCTGGTGCTGCTTAATTGCTAATTATGTTTCAGTGCAATGTGATCATAGTGTCTGCATTAATCTATTTTCTATTACTACAAAATCACACTTTAATGATATAAAGATCAATTTATTTAGCTCGCAATTCTGCAGGTTCTAGAAAATGTTTTTCTGAACAGACTGCCTCTGGTGAGGACATTATGGAAGATGGCATCCAAAGGTTGGAATCCATGTGGGAAGTAGAGATCACATTGAAAGCAGAAAGTCAAGTAACTACTAGAATTAAATAGAATCCAACAAAAAACATTAATCTTTTGCAAAGGTACCACATTCAGTGACCT